CTGGATTCACTTTCATTGGTTGGAAATTTTATTTATAAGTGAAAAGTCATAAAAAAGGTAAGAAATTATATTCAAGTGATTTTTTAACAGATTTATGGCACATAAATATCTTATTGTTAGAATCTAGCAGCTTTTGTTTCATGCACAAAATGTGTGGAAATGCACTGTAAAAATTTCCTTTAGTGTGCAAAAAATACTAAAAACAACAATTCATCTTTTTTTAAAATAATAATCAAATGTAATTGAAAAAAGTATATTACATTTAATTAATTTATTTAAAAGAAAATCATTTATTTGTGTAAGTTTTTAGAAGTTACTTATTTGTAAAGTAAAAATTACTTTTTCTGTTATTATTTATAGCTTGGGTCTCAAGAGAATTATTGTAACAACTGATTATAATAGTGATTAGCATACTATTAACAACTCGATGAGCTAGTGATAAGCATATATTGTAACAAATCAATATACTAGAGGTTTGCACCCTGATAAAAACTGAGCATACTAGTGATTAGCATACTAGTTACAATTGGTACACTAATAATAAGGTTATGGGTAACTCCTCGATATGCTATTGTGATGGGTATACTAGTAACAACTCAGAGTAGTTATGATAAATATACTAGTCAAAACTCAGTGCTCTAATTATTAGTATACTAGGCACAACTTAGATGAATTGAAAAAATTTTAGCTCATACAGACTGAAAAGTATTCGAAAGATAGTTACATAAGTTTGAAATTCAAGATAGTTAGAAATTAATGCTAGACATTTGCTTTGTTTAATAATTTTTGTTTGTAAAAAAATTTTAAAACATTGTTTTAAACTTTTCTCAAAATGGTATTTTGCGATAGATTTATATACAATGCTTTTTATTTTATTATTTATAAAATTAGTAATAAAGTTAGCTTACTAATTTTAAAAAATATTATAGTCGTTACTAATACATTAAAACAACCGGCACATTTTGAAATATTGAAGAAAAAATTAGTATTAAAAAAATTATTTAAATAATTGCTTTGTAGGTTTGGATCAACAATGTCTTATTCTTTTTTTAATATCTATAAGAGTGTTTATTTACAAGCTTCATATGATAGCAGCCTTAAATAGCATATTATTTACTATAAATTCAGGAGTTAGGCCTGTTCAGGTATTGAAACATCAAGCAAGTAAAATAAATACTTTTCTTAGAAGTGCATAATTAAGTGCAATAATTGAAGTTGATATCGTCGCTATGGTAATTTTTTAGAAACCACAAAATGAATATTAAATAGCACGAAAGTTAACCAGAATTCAGTATTTATTTCATAGAAGCTGTATTCTGTTTCACAAGTTGATAAATTCGTGTTTATGGAATCACTTCTTAGTTTCCGAGATATGTTGAATAGCTATCACGATTTGCGTTACAGAAGTAGTTCCTAAGCAACGTTTCTAGAAATTAGGGTTAATGCCCCAAATGAGCAGTTTGTAATAAAACAATATTATTACTTTTGTTTTAATCATTTTAATTTGCAAAATTCCTAGTGAAATGTTTCTCATGAATTTTCATTTAAAAAAGTAGTTTATACTACGTTTTTATTAAGTCGCTGTGTGTATGGAATCTTACAATCGGAATTTCAATCAATGTTCAACAACTTAGACCACTCAAATTTTTATTGAATTTTTTGGTGTATCATGACAATTCTAGTTTCAATAATTTTTTTGCCATTTTTTAGAAATAGAATATATCGTGATATTATTCCCAAAGTCAATTGATCTGCAATAAAGTTTCTGACAATTTCTCAGGCTGGCTAAACAATTCAAAGTTTAGATGGAACTCACTGCTAGATGTCTTTGTAAGTTTCAATTGTTTTTAATTACTAACAGCAGATTTAATAATGGAATAGAATTTAAACTTCCTCAAAATTGCAACCACTTTCAGATTAGGCAGGTCACTCAAATCTCAATTTGAGATCCGTGCCATTCACAATACAAGTTTCTATTTCTCTTTTATGGCAACTACAAGCATGATTTATCATCATTTGATCTTCTAATTGCAATTATTCGAAATTTCAACCATTTTGGGACTAGTCAAATTGGAATCTAATGGAATTCAATGTCTGAGAACAGCAAAAACATTCAATTATTTTTTAATTATTTCAAGCAAATTTTTCCTTATTTTATTAGCAATCAAAGTTGCGATCTCTTTTCTGCAAACTAATTAATTCAAAACTTGAATAATAAAATGAAAGAAAAATTTCTTATGCTGCAGATAAGAAAATAAAACTATTTTTGCTACTAAAACGAGAGAGATAGGGTGCATTACCTTCGTTATAAATTTCTTTGACAACCAAAAATTTTATTCTTGTCTTTAAAAAATGATCAACTTTACGATTTTAGTTTTCCGTTACGTTATTGGAACGGAAAAAAAAAATTCTTTTCAAATTTTTAGTACTTTTACTATTGAGAAGGTACTTCTTAGAATTTTAATTTTATTTTATTATCTTTTTTTAAAAACAACATAAGTTTACTAACTTAAACTTCAACCTCACTTTTTTTTTGCTGTTGTTGAAGAAAACGTAATTAAATTATTCAAAGTATATTTCAGTAGTTATAATCAAGAACTCAATAAATATTAATTTGTTTTAACGTCAATCATTACATAAGTCAGTAATATGTCAATAAGTGTGTCACATCAAAATGCCAATATCCATACACACTATTTCATCATTAATGCCAAAAATATTCAAACATTACGAATAATCAATTAAAAGCTTAGAATGAGATTTTCCATTAAAAATATCATTAAAACTATAATTAACGTTATATTCATTTGAGAAACATATAAGTTTTATAAAATTTCATAACTATTTCAGCATTAGATGCAATTTGTTAAATAATCAGAGTCTGGAAACTATGTCCTTCATTTACAAATATGAAAAATTTGCTGTTTTATCATAAAGTTAATTTCAAATTTCAATTTAATTCTTAAATATTAATCATGACTACAAAATTCCATAATTAGTTTTATAATGCCTTAATTGTCTCCTATGAGAAAACTGATTTTCTTATGAAAAAGATAATGAGATTTTAATGAATGTTCTTATTGCTTTTGTCATTGACTAATGGATGTGCAAATTGCGCATATGCATATACTTCATTATAAATCATTTAAAAACGTGGCTCGTTTGCTTAATTATAAGTGAAATGTTTTGATAAGAATATAATATTGAAGAATTAATCTTTCGTTTAAATTTAAAATGAAACCTGGGACTCGAGCTTGGGCAATGATACGAGAAGCGCTTTTATCTGAATAGCACGGAGTGAAAGAATGTAAGGTAACTTTACTTTATTACATTAATACTTTCAGAAATTATCTTAAATTAATTAAGTTTAAAAATAATGAAGAAAGAAATAGCTATGGTATATTGATTTTACAAAATATGAATGTTTGAAGCAAAGCATTATAATTTGAAAGGAACGAAACATAATTTTGCTCGAAAATAACTTTACGCGTTATTTATAAAATGAATAAGTTGAATTATGAGTGGAAAATTTTATGGTATTCAGTGAGCAAAATAAAACAAAATAAAAACAAACTGAAAAACTTTATTATTTACAGCATTATTATTAGAAATAAATTTAGAAAGATATAAAGTGTTAAAAATAGATGGATCTGGCGGCAAATCTGCTGTACGAATCTAGACAAAACGTTTACTAGTTTCAGTCAAACTTAGTAGAGTACGTTCGTGCTAACGTTTGCTGTGCAAAAATAGTTTGTTCTATGAAAAAACGATTTTTTTTAGTGTTAGAATTTCACCGACTGAATCAAAGGGCTGTGAAAACGAAGCGAAGTTTCCAATAAAAATTTGATGTTTCTAAAGAACCGGCGAAAAACACAATCAAAAGTTTGTTTAACTATTTTTAACACCATGCATTTTTCAACGCTATATATTTATTGCTTTTCTTATAACAATGCGACAAGGGGAAAATTTTTATCTCAAACTGTGCTTTTTTTTAAAATTACGTTCCAAATGGTCCAGTCATTTAGTGGGCAATTATATCATCTAGAAATTGAATTTTCATGTGATATGATATAATAGTAATGATTCGCAGATATAACATAAAAATATGCTATTTAATTTGTGGAAATGAAACAATAAGTAAAGTACTGAGAAGACGTATGCTTTATTCGATGGATTTGAATTCTGGACCTTCAAATTATGGAGATTTACCGCATTCTGAACATATATGGTCCAGTAGTTTAAACAGGAGATCAATCGGGAGTTAAGCTATATTAGTCAATGTAATTTTCACCTTTTGTATATTTCATCATATCTGGGAAAAAATGTCGGTCAATAATATTATGCGCATAATTCTAAAAAAAATCAAAATGTAACTTTTCTTATAAAGTTTTGTTTTATAATCTTTTATTATATATTTTTTATTATACATTTTTTATTGTTTTTTTTATGAATTTTTGGTTATTCACTTTAAAATTTGTCGAAAACTCTTTAATCAGTAAATTTTTTAAAATTTTACCTTATTTTATAATATAATCATTACAAAAAAAATTGATATCAGTTAAAATAATTTCTGAGTACTGAAAGTTCATAAAGTTTACATTTAAACTTTCATTTTCTCAAGAACTAGTTAGCCTTTTTCGTGTTTTTTTTACCACAATTTCCAGTTTTATGCTCCGTCTATAATTTGATGGTCAACAGTTCAAATTTGGCGAAATAAAAGTTATCTTTATTTAAAAAAGTACAGTTTTGAGTAAATTTTTTGCTAAATTTAGTTCTTAAAACCTTTAAAATCACATATTAAAGCGTGGCAATTCCATAATTAGATCGAAAATTATTTAGTCGTTTCAATTCTTTTATTTGCACACAGCAAAATCATATTGTAAGATTAAGCTTATATTTACTAACAAAACTAATAAATATGATCTTACTAATAAAGTAGAACTATTGAAACTCTTAAGAAAAAAGTTCATTACAAAATGAAAATGAATTGATAATCTTACTGGGAGGCATCGATGAAATAAATTATCAATGAAGCAATACTGAGAAGAAACACCAAAACAACCTGAAATAAAAAATAATCAATTACTAAAATTTTACATTTCTTAAAGCATTTTTTGGATAAAATATTTTTAATACTAAAATATTTAAGTAAGTCAATAAATACACAGAATACTTATAAAATATTGCCTTTGTATCCTTTTGGTTTTATAAAGTATTGTTATGGTGTATTGTTTGGTTTATAAAGTATCTATAAAAATGCAATAAGACTTTTTTTATGCTTTAATATAATGATACAATTTTAAAATTGATTAAAGGTTATAAAATTACAACTCGTTTAGAAAGTGTTTTGGGTAAAAAAATACATCGATTTCCTTTTTTCCCCGTAAAATTCAGATTATTGATCATTAATTTATATAGTCTCTTCACTCTGAAAAAAAGACCGAGAACCGTAATTGGAACGACATTTTAAACAATATTTAAAGTAAGTAATGTTTCGTAATTCAAGTCGGAGATATACACCCTTTTCCAGAGTGATTACAACATCAGGGTAGGAAAACAAAAGTATCTGGTTAGGTTCTAGTTGGCGTCAAAGAACATTGCTGACATGGGCAACAAACATGCAATTCTTTCACTTTTTGACAAATAGCAGCACTACATTATTTCGCATTGTTCCACTCCTTGTCTTGAATTGACACACAGATCGCTTGAGTCTCAAATTAAAGCTCTGAACTAAACTCCTGAACTGAGCTCAAATTAAAGCCCAGGGCTTTATCTTAAACCACGTCAAGGACGAAACTGAAAGTAACTATTATGAGCATAACGTTAATTCATGGTTAGGGGAGAAATATTTTATGAGAAAAAATGACAGACATACCCATATCTTATGGTAACTTTGCGAACATAAATTTATTTTTACTATAAGTGACTTTAACACTTTTTGCTTTTTACTGACCGTAATCTAGCTGCTAAACTTTTTTGATTATAGAGTTTAGCGTGAATGAAAACTGTCACCTTTGGTAACCATATCTCTGTCTTTGCCTAAAAGTTTTCATAACTATATAGTTAAACGCACGTACTTGCGCATATTTGCACTAGAAAACAATTTTTGAAATAAAAAATAATATGTGCTCGAGTGTGAAAAGTAAAATATTACTAATCTGACAAATCAAATACTAAAATAAAAGAGTTTTCGAAAAAAATAATAATGCTTTTTTAAACCAAATAAATCTAAATTAAACCCCTTTCGTGGTGCGATATATTCAACTAAAGTTTACCTTATTTATTGACAAGTATTTAGTTAGACGACAAATATTTTTCTCAAAGTAATTTCCTCTCCGAAATTTTCAAATTAAAACGATTCTGCTATTTCAGTACAAAAAAGAAGTATAAAAGCTATTTTATGCAAACTAGGAGTTATGTTGAATGAGTTTTAAGATTAACAATCAGCGAGTCCATTTTGGGAAAAAGAGAGTCTTGAGTTGTTTAAGCCTGAGGCACGCTTGGTAAACTCATTAAAAGACTCTTTTCTGTTTGAATAGCTAACTATCGGAGTGATTAAAATTTCCAACTCCACCAGAAGGTATATGTAGATATNCATATATATATATATGCATTTATTCAGTCTGCTTTCTCAGGTTACTATTTGAAACTCATTTTATTTCATTCATTTTTCATTTTTTAATAATTTTCGTTTAAATTTTTTACATTTTTCAGAATCATAAACGCATTATAAAAAGAAATTTCTATCTTAGGATAATTGTTCATTATTTTGAAATTAACGTCTCTGAAAACAACACTTAACGGAATTAATAAAATAAAGCTTGTAGTAGCTTGTAGCTTGTTTATTTATCCAAAAAAGAAACAAACTCTACCAAAATTTCATAAAAAAGACAGTAGATATCCAACAAATGTAATTAAATCCCTTATAAAATCATTAAACTAATCGTTTTTCATAATTTTTAACAAATTTATTAAACATCTCTTTGTTAACTAGATTTATATTTTCACCTAGTTATGTTTTATCTATTTTTTATTTATAATTTTTGAAAATCCAATTCGGGCAAGTCCATGGTAAAAAAAATCAAGGCAAAGAAGGTGTTTTAAATCAATTTTGCAAGATTTCGGTAAGTGAAAGTATGTTTGAATTCGCTCTTCGCTTTATATATTAGTTTTTGCGTTAAATCTTATTTTTCTCGAATTTTTATTTTATATTTTTTGTTTAATATGTTTTATTTCGTATTTTCTGCTTAATATGTTCTATTTTCGTTTCAATTTTTTTGGTGTTCCACACTTTCTTGTATTGATATATTTTACTTTGGCTATATTAATACAATATTAGAAAGCACTCTATTTTGAGGATATAATCGTGTGAGCTGACGAGGTAATGATATTTTTTACTTTTTTGTTGTCCGGCATTTAATTTTTTTAAAATGTTAAAATATTTTTTAAATTTTTTTTTGTTAACAATTTTCCTTCTTTGCTGTAAAAATATAGATAGTTTCCTTGTTTTCTTTGCATTTTAAAGTTCCTTTATTTGTTTGTGTATATATACACATAAGTGGCCATTAAAATTGCTCCGCCAGGAAGGCGATGCACCACGACTATGAAATTTGCAGGACGGATAAAAATTTTTGTGGCTTATCAGCGCATTCTTATTGCGGCTTATCTTGTTGTGACTTATCAGCGCATTCATGCAAAGCAGGAGGCAGTAGCGACGCCTACAATTTGTATAAAGGAAGAGATTTGACAATAAGTTTCTTTTGCAGATATTGAATTTTAGCGATGTTCACGGATTAAAAAGTTTTTGTTATTCCTCGTGTAAGAAAGAGAAATGCCTACCATCATGTTGTATTGTAGCCTACTGGGTCGAATTGTAGCCTACCGGGATTGTGGTTTATCATACCTATTGTGGTTTATCATAACTATTGCTGCTAGCGTGGGTCGAGATCCCATGACTGCTAGCAGAATACGGAATCGATGGGTTCTTGACGGTCATATGGAGCGCCGTGCTGGATCTCAGCGCCCCATCACTAGCAGCTGAAAAGACAGACATGCTATCCACACGGCCTTAAGGGATTGTACAGCTACGTCACGAACAATGAGTCAACAAATTGGGTCATTTGCAAGACAACAAGTGTCTGTAAGAACAATTCGACGACGCATGGACTGGACGCTCAACTATCCTTGAAGCAGCATCACAGGTAGGAGCGCCTCCCATGGTGTGATCAACGGCGAACCTGGACGCAGGAATGGCGTGACGTCGTCTTTTCAGATGAATCCAAGTTCTGTATTCAGCATCATGATGGCCTCATCCATGTTTGGCGACATCATGGAGAACGCCCATTGGCAGCTTGCATTCGACATCGTCATACTGGCCCATCACCTGGAAAAACGGTATGGGGTGCCATTGGATACACGTCTCTATCAGCTTTTGTTCGCGTTGCCGGTATTTATAACAACAGCCGTTACATTTCTGATGTGTTAGGGCCAGTTGCTCTGCCTTATCTTCGAGGCCTCCATAACGCTACGTTTCAGCAGGGCAATACACGACCGCATGTTGCCAGCACTGTCCAGACCCTCCTTGACGCAGAACATGTTCGCCGCTTGCCCTGGCCAGCACGTTCTCCTGATCTCTCACTAATTGAAAGCATCTGGTCAATGACTGCCGAACGACTGGCGAGCCACCACTCTTCAGTCACCGCTGTCAATGAATTGTTGCATAATGTTGAAGCTGCATGGAATGCTGTATCCGTCAATGATGCCCAATCTCTGTTCGACTTGATGCCCAGGAGAATAACTGCTGTTATTGCTGCCAGGGGAGGCTTCTCTGAGTACTGTTTCCACAGGATCTATTCATCCAAACATTCTGAAAATGTAATCACTTGTTCTTCCAACTATAATGTATGTGCCCAATAAATATCATTCCGTTATTTGCATCCCCTTCTGGTGTAGCAATTTTATAGACCAGTAGAGTATAGATATATTATAATTAGTATCATTATTATTATTTTATTTTTTATTCATATTTTTTAGCAAAATGTAGTAGGAGCAATCATGGATTGATCCCGCGGCATGGAATTATGGATTAGAACCGAATGGATTACGAATTATGGAATAAGAACAGCATAATTCCTGGAACTGCTTAGATTACTTAAAGTATTACTTTGGATGTCCTAAAATATAATTTTATTTAGTTAAAAAATAAAATATAATTATCCTTACTAGAGAACTATAATATACATATATAGTTAAAAGAGGAGCTTTTGCTTCAGTAGGTGTGTAGAAGCGTAAAAGACAACAGCAAATTTATGCTAATTCGTACTCGATTGTTTAGAAAATCTACTGATGATATTCATAGTGCTCCAACATTGGTGTTTTTGGAAAGAAAATAAATCAGGTATGATGGCAACTCATTCGAACTTGGTGTAAGCTTTACCCGTTATGAGAGTTAAGATTAAAGTTACACCTCGCTTATATCTTATTAATTCGCTACACCCAATATGATTACTTTTACCCTTTTATTTCTGCACAAGGATTATAAAACTACAAAATAAATGTGTTCATTACTGCAGTACTACCCAAATGGTGTTCCACTGTAACCCAGGAAACAATAGAAGGGTTGAAAGGGTTCCGAGATTTGAAAATTTCTTATTTGCTTATTTGATTAGTACCGTTTTTTTAATCAGTTTTTATGTTTAGATACAATCAATAATGGATTATTTATGTAATATTTCGTATGCCTTATGAAACTATTTAAAGTAAAATACCAAAGAGAAAGAAATGGCAAAATGTTTTTGAATAGATTTTTTAATAATATCTTTAACAAATTATGAAAATGATGTGTATTTATGAAAAAATGAATTAGTATATCCTGTAACTTTTTTTTAAATAAGTAAGCTAAATTCAATGGTAAAAAATAAATATATGTTTCTGTTGCAATCATTTTCACTGTTTATAGTTGCTTTGAAATCATATTTTGACTTATTTTATTCATGTTCAGCTCAGTATACTAAAAAAAAATTTCAAAACTAGATACAGTACAGGAAATCAAATTTGACACTG